CTTCTGGTCAGCTGCTACGCCAGGAACAGGTGACCCCCTCACAGCCTCCTCACTTGGAAGACTATCTGGTGACTCCTGATGGTAGAAAACACCACCAGGTTCCTCTCTCTGTGGGTAAGAACTATATGACACTGTTGGTGTCCCAGTCTTCTGACCATTTTGTCCAGAAATAACAGGACCTTTCAGAAGCTGTTCATATGGATAACTATCTGGTAATGTCTGTTTGTAATAAACACCAGCTTTTCCTTCTTGCGGGTACGAACTAACAGGCAATGCGGGGATTCCAGGCTGCTGGTCAGCTGATTCAAGAACACGTTTACTTCTCAGAGCCTCTTCAGTTCGCTGGCTGTCAGTAAATGCCTGTTGGGACAAAGTACTAGGCTGTTCTCTGTGTGACTGGAAACTAGAGGGTACTGTTGGTATGCCCACCTTCTGCTCAGGTTGTCTGGGAACAAATGAACCTTTCTGAGCCTCTTCAGTAACATGACTATTTGGCAATCCCTGTTGGTATAAAACACCAGGCTTTTCTCTGCTTAGGTAGGAACTAGTGGGCACTGTTACCATTCCAGTCTTCTGAGCAGGTGGCATGCCAGGAACAGGTGACATTTTCAGGGCCTGTTCAGTCGGATGACTATCTAGCCACGCCTGCTGGTTAGAAGCACCAGCCTTTTCTCTTTGATAGTAATAATTCTCAAAGACTGGCAGCCTGGTCTTCTGGGCAGGTAGCATGCCAGGAATAGGTGAACTTTGTTGCAGTGCCTCCTCAGTTAGATGGCTATCTGGTAATGCCTGCTGGTAAAGAGAATCAGGCTGTTCTCTTTGTAAAAAACTAGAGAGGACTTTGGGTGTCCCAATCTGGTCAGCTGGCCTCTTTAGCAGCTCTTCAGGAAAATGACTATCTGACAGCTCCTGACGGAATAAAGCACTGGGCTTCCCTCTGTATGAGGATGAGCTGGAGGGAACCGTTTCTATCTCAGTCTTCCAGGCAGCTGGTCCAGGAGCAGCTACAAGGATCTCTTCAGTTAGATCACTGTCTGGCAATGCCTGTGTGTAGCCAAGACTCGCTTTCCCTCTGTGTGTGGAGCGACTCGCGGCTAGCCTTGCTATCTCAGAGCTCTCATCAGCTTGGCCAGCAGACTCTGGATCTTTCAGAGCTTTCTCAGCTAGATAAACATCTGAGAATTCATAGCCATATGAAGCCCTAGGCTTCTGCCTGGATGAGTGGGAGCTATAAGGTACTGGTGGTTTTTCAATCCTTTGCTTTGCCAGCGCAGGGACTGCTGAAACTTCCGGAGTTTGATCACTCAGATGACTGTCTGGCAAAGTCTGGTGGTAGAAAACACTGGTGTGGTCAACCACGGTCTTGTGTTGAGGGGACCTTAAAGTCAACTGAGACAGGGCTTCAGTACGCAAGGGCATATATGATCTAATGTCTGAATCTCGAGAAGAGGCAGTACAGCCTGATTTCAAGGTGCTCTGAGGAATTTCAGCTGTGCCTCCTTGAGCAGTATCTCCTAAAGAAAAGAGATTATACATGTATAGATTTTTTTTTAAATGCTGTATTTTGAATTTCAAAGAATCACCTCTGAACTTAAAAAAAAAAATAAATAGAAAAACCTTTCTCTTGAGTATCAGAAATAAATCCTAAAGAAGTACTTCTTGAAGAAGATAAACATATTCATTGCAAAGCCATTTTAAAAAGCAAACTATAATTTAAATGCTAAAAAGAATAATGGTTAAACGTTAATTTTATAATAGTAAATAGATATAATGGAATGGCACAGAATAATATTATCAGGTCTAGGATTTTATTTTTCCTTAGATGGCACACTTTTTGCAGAAAGTGAAGCTGAGGTGAAGCAAAAAATCTGACTACAGTCTTCAATCTGAGTCACATCTCAACATCAAGAAAACAAAAACCTCTGAATCCTTGTGTGCATCAAACGCTTTTTCCAATAGGGTGAAAAGAAAACCTACTGACGGGGAAAGAACTCTGGAAGGCAGTTTGGCATTTCTTCAAAAACCTGAACACAGAAGCTCCATACGACCCAGCTATTCCACTGCGAGTAATATCCCCCAAGGAAATTAGAATCAAGACACAAATGGATTATTTGTATACCAATGTTCATTGTAGTGTTATTCACAATTGCAGGAACATGGAAACAGTGCAAATGTCCAACCACAATAGAATGGATTGAGAATCATGGTACATTCACATGATGGAATACTACGCAGCACACAGGAGTAACGTTTTAGACAACTACTACATCTCTTGGGAAAGACTAAAGAGCATTATGCTGAGTGAACACAGTCTCATAAGGAAAAATACTACATAAGACCATTATTGTAAAAATAGAAGAATAAAGAGACCTAAGTGGGGGGGAAGGATGGGAGCAGAAGGGTGAGGGTGGACAGAGGGAAATCACAGGTTTGCACCATTTTGGGGATGAAGGGAAGGTATGGGGGGGGAGAAGAAAAATTCTCACTACTAGACCAACAGGCAACATCATCATGAAAGCCAAAGAAAAGACTGAAGTTGTCAATGACTGCAATTTACTTGAATCCATGAATCCATGGTAGCAGTAGTCATGAAATCAAAAGATGTGCTTCACTGGAAAAATCAGCTGTCAGGTACCTCTCTGAAGTCCTAAAGAGCTCCACAGTGACCTTAAAGACGGATCCAAACCATGGTATTTTCATTAGCTTCCTATGAATCTGAAAACTGGACAATGATACTAGAAGGATACTAGAATTGATGCCTTTGAGTTATGGTGCTGGAAAAGAGTACTGAATATTCCAAGGACTGTCAAAAAAAATAAGTCTGTCTTGGACGAAGTGCCACCAGAGTGATTCTTAGAGGCAAGGATGCTAAAACGTCATCTCACATACTCTGGGCATGCTGCCGGGAGGGACAACTCCTTGGACGCCATCATGCTGGGAAAGACAGAAGGTCGGAAAAAATCCGGAAGATGGATTGACAAGGACTATCACAACGGGCTTGAACACGAGGGAGATAGTGAGGGAGGTACAGGCTGGTGATCAAAGGACCCTATGAACTGTGATCAACCTGATGGCACTTAACTAGTTCCATGGAAGCTGGAAGTAAACAACAGAATAATGAAACAGAAGCAAAAAGCTTAAATATCTACAGTAGTGAAAGCTACAGGATCATAAAAGGATATACATGGGTTCCTCTTGCCCTCAAGTCCCGTGAGGGAAGGCATTAAGACAAAGCAACACATGCGTGCTATACCTACTGTGCGCCTTGTCACGGCTGATGAGGCTGAGGGTCCACCACTTTGACAGCAACAATAAGCCTGCTCTTCAGCTGCGAGATGTTACTCCTTCTCTCCAGCTACGTAAACAATCCGGGGAACTTGGGTAGGTTAAAGAATCCCGAGGTTCTTACAACCTTGGTACACTGAAGCAAGATGTGTAGGAGTGAAAACAACAGATTAAAGAGAAAAACTACAGATTCTCCTAACAGACATATATCTGCCCCCCCCCCCCTTAACACACATTCATGTAATTTATGAAGCCTGGAAAATGAAAATTACACTGACAAGTCTGGACTTAATTCTAAATGACATAAGAAACTAGTTTTTATCAAAGCTATACTACAAAAACAGGCTTGAGGCCTCGAACACTAATGGACAAAGACCAGATGATCTGTGGGAGGATATCAAGAATATCAACCATGAAGATTGTGAAAAGTCATTACAAAGACAGAGGACGAAGAAAAGACTGAGATGGATACCGGAAGAGACTGAATACTGACTGCACTAGAAAGCCAAGAAACCAAAGCAAAAGGAAGAAATCAGGAAGGTAATTAAAGGGAATCTGCAAAGGGTTGGAGTTAGAAAATCAAAAGGAACCAAATCATTCTGTATTTCGCCTGCTGAATGAACTGAAAAATTCAAGCCTAGAGTTGCAATACTCAAAGATGCTATGGGCAGAATATTCCATTATCTAGGAAGCATCAAAATAAGATTGAAGGAGTACACAGAATCACTGTACCAAAAAGAAATGGCTGACAGAAAAATTTCATGAAACGACAAATTATTAAGAGGCAATGGTGAGAAAGAAAAAAGTTCAAGTTGCTCTGAAGGCAAAAACAAGGCCTCAGGAATTGAAGGAATAACACTTGACATATTTATCTTTTTAATATTTACTGATTTCACTTTTTTCATTGTTGCACATTTTCTTCCACTTCCTACACTGTCATGCCCCCAGGCCACCCCACAATGCACTCATTATTACAGATGGTTGGCATACATATTATCCCTAATCATATATATTCCTTTTGGAGAGTTTTCTTTCCCTCATCTGTTCTAATGCAGTGTTCATTCTTTACCACTCTTTCCCCATTGTCTCTACAACATCTGTCCTGTAACAGTGATGTTATGCAGTGTTTGTCCTTTTGTGACTGATATATTTCACTCAGCTTAATGTCCTCCAAGCTTCCCCACGTTGTTTGTTTCACGAGTTCACTGTTTTTTTAGCGTTGTGTAATATTCCATTGTGCTAATGTATCCATTTGTTTGTTGATGGGCACTTGGGTTACTTTCATTTCTTTGCTATTGTGAATAACACAGCAGTAAACATGGGTGTGCATATTATCTGTGAGTCATGGCTCTGTTGTTTCTTTTTTTAAAATGAAACGTTTTGTTCATTTTCCATCAACCTTATTTCCACTTTTTAAAAGACAGTTTAAGACTATTCAGTGGTTGTTCTGACCCACTCAGTGGCCTGAGCAGTGGGGGTTGCAGACCAGTCTTCAGTTGCGGGCTGAGCAGCAGTGAATTTAGGACCGGGGCTTCCATTCTCCCCGAAACTCCTCCTTGGTCACAGCCTTTTCAACAGTACCTGCTTGCTCTTCCTTTTCAATCTCTTCCGGATCTTTGTAGAAGTACAAATCAGGCATGACGTCCCACGGGTGCTCTCAGGAGATTGTGCCACACATGCACTGGACTTCGCGGGCCAGCATCCACCACATCAGACCCACGGAGTGAACTCCCTTGTTGTTGCATGGGATAGCAACGTCTACATAGTGCAGAGGAGAATCTGTGTTACTCAGGGCAATGGTGGGCAAGTTAATGTAAGATGCTTCTGTCACAGGCTGGTGGTCAGCCCTGGGATGAGTAACCACCAGACGAGGCTGTCTGGATCTGGCCAGTGAAGGTTCCAGGAGTGAAGCGCCCCAGAAGCAGCAGCAAACGTCAGAACAGCTCTCTGGCCAGTATTTCTAGAAGATATGACACTGACATCAACTGCATTTTCAATGGCAACAATGGTGCGAGCAGCCCAGAGCAACTTCTCCCAGGTCCTCTTCAGGTTTACGATGTAGATGCCATCACTTTTCCTTTTGTAGATGTACTGTTGTTCCATCAGGAAGTCAAGGTTGGTGCCGCCCAAATGCGTTCCAGCTACAAGGAATTTGAGAACATCCTCCTCCTTCATCTGCAGGACATCAAGGGCTCCAGACGTTGTGGAAGTTTCCCCTTTAAGTTATAACAGGAACCAGAACGATGTCGTATGGACCCTTGTGTGGGGAGCAAGGAAAGCATGGCTCTGGTTTCTTTAAGGTATATTTCCAGTAGTGGAATTGCTAGGTCAAATGGTATTTCTATTTCTGACTTCCGCCCCCCACCCCAATTTTTTGAGGTAACTCCAGATCAGTTTCAATAGTGCTTGTACAATTTTATATTCCTACCAGCAGTGAATCAGAGTTCCAATCTCTCCACAACCTCGCCAGCATTGGTGGCTTGCTGCCCCTGTTGAACTCTGCTATTTGTGGCTGGGGTGAGACGGTATCTCATAGTTGTTTTGATTCATATTTCTCTGATAGCTGGGAATTTTGAACATTTCTCTGTGTGTGTGTGCGCGCGCGCGCCATTTGAATGTCTTCTCTAGAGGTCTCTTACATTCTGTGCCCATTTTGTGATTGGTGTTCACCGTTTTCTTGTTGAGGTGGAGTATTTTATAAATTTTAGATATAAATCCCTTATCAGATACATTTTTCCCTAGTCTGTGGGTTTTCTTTTTACACTGTTGGGAGAAATTTTTGTTGAAATCCATAGGTATTTGATTCTTACAAGGTCCCGTTCATCTACTTTATTCTCTCCTTGTAGGCTTTTCATTACTCTTGGAAGATTGGCCATGTTGTGGATTAGGGATTCTAGAGTTGTTTCTCTGATTAATTTTATAGTCTTTGGTTTTACTTCAAGGTGCCTGTTCCACCATGCATAGGTTTTTGTGTATGGTATGAGGTACGAGTCTTGTTAACACGTTGCCACAAATGATGGCAAACGTGTTTCTAAGCACAGTCGTCAATTTCACGAATTTGCGTGTCATCTTCTCTGTATCGTTCCAATTTTA